CCCTAAAGCCCTAGACCCTAAAGCCCTAAAGGCCCTACAGCCCTAAAGGCCCTACAGCCCTAAACGCTGAAGACCCTAAAGACCTAAAGGCCCTAAAGCCCTAAAGGCCCTACAGCCCTAAACCGTGAAGGCCCTAAAGACCTAAAGGCCCTGAAGCCCCAAAGCCCTAAAGCCCTAAAGGCCCTAAAGCCCTAAAGCCCTCGACCCTAAAGCCCTAAAGCCCTAAAGGCCCTAGACCCTAAAGCCCTAAAGCCCTAAAGCCCTAAAGCCCTAAAGCCCTAAAGCCCTAAAGCCCAAAAGACCCTAAAAACCCTAAAGCCCTAAACCCTGAAGCCATAAAGGCCCTAGGCTCTAAAGCCCTAAAGCCCTAAAGCCCTAAAGCCTTAAACCCTAAACCCTAAACCCTAAGCCCTAAGCCCCTAAACCCCTAAACCCCTAAACCCCTAAACCCGTAAACCCCTAAAACCCATCGCGACTCCAGGAGCGGCTTCCTTCGCCAGGACCCTCCGCGGTGTGCGTCCTTGGTTGCTTCGTTTTTTTTTCCCTCTCCGGGCTCGGGGTCCTTAGGACTCTGGGGTTCAGGGTTTAGGGGTTTAGGGGTTTAGGGTTATAGGGTCATTAGGGTTGAAGGTTTAGGGCTTAGGGTTATTATGGTTGAGGGTTTAGGGTTATTAGGGTTTAGGGGTTTAGGGGTTTAGGGTTACCAGGGCTTAGGGTAAGGGGTTATTAGTGTTAAGGGTTAAGGGTTTAGGGTTGTTCGGGTTGAGGGTTTAGGGTTATTCGGGTTTGAGGGTTTAGGGTTTAGGGTTGACGGTTTAGGGTTTATTCTGGGGTTTTTATTCAGATTTTGTGAAGTTGGTTTGTATTGGGTTTTAGATGGCTTTTGGAGGTGTTCACGCGGATGTGTTTTGCTAGATGCTGGCCGTAGGTATATGGAGGTAGAACTATAAAGGAACTATGCGGGAGTGTCATTACCTTGTGTTCCGACTTCCGTCTGGCTGGCCAAACTCGAAACCCTAGTAACCCCTTTCGAAGCCACCCTAAACCCCCAACCCTAGTAACCCGGAAGGGCCGACTATAATATTACATCATAGCATAGTTTCGTATAGTATCGTATATTGTATTTATAACCTATTCTACTGTCTCATTATATGATATTTTCTATACCATCCATTACATCATATTATATCATTTGTACACTAAGCCCTCAACCCTCAACCCTGAAGCCTCAACCCTAAACCCTAAACCCTCAACCCCTAAACCCCTAAGCCCTAAACCCACGACCCTAAACCTGCCCTAAACCCTAAAACCCTCAACCCTAAACCCTAAACCCTCAACCCTAAACCTGCCCCAAAACCCCAAACCCTCATCCCTAAACCCTACACCCTCAACCCTACACCCTAAACCCTAAACCAAACGCCGACAGAATCCTTGGAAAGGACCTGACGGGCCGCTGCTTGGGCCCTGCGAGCTGCGAAGTGAATGCGGAGGTCCAGGCCCAGGCGCGTCCGGGCTCGGTTTTTGTGGATTTTAAGGTTCAGGAATTGGGGTTTTAGGGTTCGGAATTGGGGTTTTAGGGTTCAGGAATTAAGGTTTTAGGGTTCAGGAATTAGGGTTTTGTGGTTGGGCTTTGGAATCTTTGTGGGAAGTTTTGTAGGTTGGTTTAGGATAGCGATGTCTAGGCAACGTTAGCCATAATCTTCAATTAAGGTGCGTATAACCGGGTTCATAAACAACTATGAGCCTTCAAGTAGGGCTTGTGGGGTTGAGCTTGCTGCATGTTGATTCCTCTGCAGGTGCTGCGGCAAGGAGCCTTTGTGAGCGGGGAATGAGCAGCTTGGTGGAGAGAGTAGAAATATTCAATCAAGCTTGGGTTCAAGAAACCTGCACAATCCCAGAGCCCAAAGAAGTAAACCCTTAACCGCGCATGGAACCATCCTGCAACCCTATCAAACTCTACCCTAAACCCTAAACCTTAAAACCCTAAAACCCTGAACCCGAAAGACCTCATAGAACCTGGGGAGGAATGCGAGCTCTTCCTTCCCACCACCCTCCAGCGATGGGACGTCAACGAGCACCATGGTCCGAAAATCCTTCCGGTTTAGGGTTTAGAGCTTGTAAATTGCAGCTTATTCTGTAGCTGTGTTTATAAGAGTGGCATTGGGGGGAGTTGCGCTGGACCAGATCAGGGGGGGAGCCCAATACCCTTTAAACAAGGAATATATAGCTTAAAGCAGAATATGAAGCCCCTTATGCTTTAAGCTATATGCCTTGTTTGAGGTGTGTTGGGCTCTTTGGGAGATTCTGGCTAGGGTTTATATTTTATTTAGGGTTTGGGGCCTGGGGCAAAACCCCTTGCCGAGGCAACTTCCTGGTTCACTCTCCTCGAGACAGATTGGAATGTGATCTATAGTGAACCCCAGAAATTTGGAACATGGGTTTAGGATGATTAGTGCTAGGATCCCCTTTACTATTTATCTTAAGGGCATGACGATTGGAATGTTCCAACTTTATGGCTACCATTATATGGTTTAGGGCTTAGGATCCGTGTTTAGGGTTTAGCCAGAAAGGGCAAATAATTCCCAACACTATTTTGGGGCTCCTTGTTGTAATTACAGAATAAAGGGCCCCAAAACCGTAGTCTAATTATTAAGGCCCCTACATTAAGGTGTTTAGGGATTTAGTTGGGTGGTTTCCTGAGTTTGGTCGGGGGTCTTGACTGACTCGGAGGGATCTAGTTAAGTAGGCCCTGTGTGTTCTGTACCAAAAAGGCGTCTGCTGTAGGAAATTACCCAATTACCCAGGGCTGTAGAGAGTAGTTAGTAGTTGTCCACGCCGAGCATTTCCAGATGTTTTCATGCTCCACATCCAAGACCCCAATGCAAAAACCCTAAACCGTACAGTCATAAAGCCCTAACCCCTAAACCCTAAACCCTACAGTCATAAAGCCCTAACCCCTGACCCCAAAACCCTAAACCGCCACTTCCTAAGCCCGTAGCTCGACTTTTCAAACCTTGCAAAACACCACGGATGCACCCCATGAAGTCCAAACCCTGCATCTCTGCAAAAGCTGGAAAACCTTGTAAAGCATCATAGACTCCTGTGAACTATATAAACCCCCCAAACCCCAAAAAAACCATAAGCCCTTAACCCCTAAATCCGAAACTTTTTGAGGCACTAAATCCTTCAGTCCGTAAATCCCACAACCCCCCTTAACCCTAAACCCTAAACCCTACAGTAAACCGCGTGCTCCACCCTCACTCCGGATCCCCCCTGTGAACTCAAGTCCGAATAGGGCCCCCAGAGAGCCCCAATATCCCTCAAATCAGGATTGTAGGTAAGTTTAGGGTTTAGGCTTTAGGTTTTAGGGTTTAGGGTTTGGGGTTTAGGGTTTAGGGGTTTAGGGTTTAGGGTTCAGGATCATATGAAGCCCCTTGTACTTTAAGCTATGTTCCTTGTTTAAGGTGTATTGGGCTCTCTGGGCCACATGTGCCCAAACCGTAGTCTCATTATGAAGGCCCGTACCTTACGCCCGTACAGCAGCCCAGAAAATAGCTTGTAGACGAACCCCAGCACCCTGTTGTCAGTATGAAGGTCCGTTTATCCGAATCCTGATAAACACCCAGAGAGCCCAATACCCCTTAAATAAGGAATATAGCTAAAATCATACTATGAAGTCCCTTATAATTTAAGCTATATTCTTTATGTAAGGTGTATCGGGCTCTCTGGGCACACGCTGAGCAATTTCTTGTAGAACTCATTTTGGCACCATAAAGATTCTTACTCTGCGTATTTAAACAAAACCTCAATCGCTAAACCCTAACCGAATCCTTAAAACCCTCAAACCTATGAATGTAAAAAGCCATTCAAACGAAGCCCTAAACCCTAAACCCTAAACGCCCTAAACCCTAAGCCTAAACCCTAAACCCAAAGCCCTAAACCCTAAACCCTAAACCCTCTAAGCCCTAAGCCCTGCGCTCAGGCTCGGAATTATCCACAGTGAGGGATGCCCCGGCCTGCCCGAGCCTTAGAAGGGCGCCGTACTATCTTGGGGGCCTGAAAGAAGGGACTGGGGTTTGGGGTTTGGGGTGTAGGGTTTTGGGTTTTAGGGTTTTAGGGTTTAGGGTTTTAGGTTTTTAGGGTTTAGGGTTTAGGGTTTAGGGTTTAGGGTCACCCTAAACGGATCTGTAAGGGTTTCTATAGGGGTTTCTATAAGGGTACTAGAAGGGCTCTAATATGGGTAGTTCTCTGAATTAGGGTCCCTGTTAGGGTCCTTTTGAGAAGGGTGCCGCACTATGTTGGGGGCCAAAAAGGGACCCTAATTTAGAAAGCTACCCATTTAGAGATTGCAAAGGCATAGCAATAGCTAGACTAGGATTAAGCCCTAAACCCTAAACCCTAAACCCTAAACTTTTGAAGGGTTCCAGCAAAGCGGCTCTACAGGCTTCTTTGAGACGTTAGCCTGACTGAGGCGCTGTAAAACCCAACGCCGTCTGTAGCTCCGCAATTAGGGTTTAGGGTTTAGGGTTTAGGGCTTAGGGTTTTAGGGTTTAGGGTTTAGGGTTTAGGGTTTATCAGTGACCTAGTGGGTAGGATAGGGTTTGAATTAGGGTAGCTGTATAGGGACTACATCGAAATATTACATGAATTCTCCGGGGTCCTACATTGGACCCTGAATCCTAAACCCTAAACCCTAAGCCCTAACACTCCAGGGTCCTATAATGGACCCTGTTTCCTAACCTGGAACCAAAAGACCTACATCTACAGAGGTCCTTACAACGAAACCCTTCTCGAATCCCTTAGCGAAAGTAGCCCCAGTCGTTGAATGCAAATGCCAAACCATGAGCCCTAAACCTGTAACCCTTCGAAACTCACCCGTACCTCCTATGCCCTAAACACTACTTAATGTAGAAGCCTGCATCACCAGTACATGACTGCATTCTTGAGAAGACAAGGCCCTAAACCCCTAAACCCTGGCGGGTTCCTGTCCAACCAACCAGGCAATCGCCCCGAACCCGGACGTCTACTTTGATCCAAACATATGGTACTTGGATGAGGAGTTGCGGAAGCAGGTGAAGACATTTGCAAGATCCTTCATCATGACGGGCCAGGAAGCTCCTGAAAGCAACAAGAAGCTTCATATCGACCTGTACAAAAAGACCATCTCTGCGGACGGCATCATGGGACGAAAGCCTTATGGCTGCATTACCAAGATGTTCCACATTGTCGGGTGGACTCGGTCGGAGCTGAACTGGATGATGATAAGTTCTCTGGTGTTGGCAACAATACCTAAGGGTCCAAGTGCCGAAATAGTAGGGCTTCAAGGTCCAAAAACCATTCAGAGTATGGATTTTGGGGCCTAAAACCCCTAAACCCTAAACCCCGGTACTCGGACCCTCTGGGAATACTTTCACTTCAATGTTCCGACGGGGACTGGTGTGGAAGGCAAAAGCCCAAGCCCTAGGCCCTAAACCCTAAGCCTCAAAACCGGAACCTGAAGCCCTAAACCCTAAACCCCAAACCCCAAACGCTAAGCCCTAAACCCTAAAAGCGAAAAAGACACCCCCTCCCCAACAAAGAAAACAAGCATAAACTTTAAACCCTAAACCCTAGACCCAAAAAACAGACATAACAAATCCTAAGAACTCATCGGGAGACCCGAGAAGGTGCCTGACCCCTTCGGGAAACACGCCGGTCTCCTGGAGCGACCGTGCGCTGGTCATGGGGACCCTCTTGGCTGCACTTAGGGTTTAGTGGGTTTTAGGGTTTTAGGCTTTAGGGTTTAGTGGGTTTTAGGGTTTTAGGCTTTAGGGTTTAGTGGGTTTAGGGTTTTAGGGTTTTAGGGTTTGGGGTTTGAGGGTTTAGGGTTTAGGGTGCTAGGGTTTAGGGTTTAGGGTGCTAGGGTTTAGGGTGTTAGGGAAGAACGGCGAGCCTGGGGGTGTTAGGGATTTCTGGTTACTGTTGTAGTGCTTTGTGCATCCCTAAACCCGAAACCCCAAACCGAGGCTCCGAACCCTCAAGCCCTACACCCTATTCTGAACCCTAAGCCCCAAACCCTACACCCTAAACCCTGGACCCCTAAACCCTAAACCCTACAAGCCTAAAAACCTAAACCCCACACCCTAAACCCCAGACCCCTGTTAAACTTCCAGGGTTTTTGGGCTAAGGGTTTAGTGTGTTGTTGTTGTTGTTGTCCAGCGTTGCAGCTTAGGCTTAAGACGTTTGTCTTCATGTGCGTCTTGTTTTAGGGTTCTGAGGGTTGGGGTTCAAGTGGGAGGGTCGGGTTTAGGGTTTGGGGTTCAAGTTTGGGGTGGCAGGCTTGAGGGTTTGTGTTCTAGGATTTCGGGGTTGAGGGTCTCAGCGGATTGGCCCTATAAGCCCTAAACCCTAAACCCTAGATCAGGATGTTGCATTCGCGGTTTCGAATCTGAATGGCAGGCTCTAGGGTTTCGAGTTCAGGGTTTCAGGCGTAAGGCGTAGATGATGTGAGCTTCGAGTTGCAAGGCTTGGCGTTAAACCCCAACTTTCATAGCTTAAACCCGGAATCTAGCTTTTAAAGCCTACCTCATCCCACCAAAACCCACTTTTTTGCAGGTTCTGCTTATTCATAGAAACCCCAGTATGGGATTGATAGGGACCCTACAAAAAAGTAGGGTCCTAGCTTTTGAAGCTCAAAGCCTAAACCCTAAACCCTAAACCCTAAACCCTAAACCCTGAACCCTGAACCCTGAACCCTGAACCCTAAATTCTAAACC